AGGTGGGAGTGGAGTCCATTTCTCCCTGTGCCCAGCTGGAACACCTAGACAATCTTCTGAGGAACAGAGTAAACAACCAACAGAATGCCAGCTTATATGAAGTTTGGAGGGCAAAAATTGTAGAGATTGAAAAACAGACGGTGAGGAGATTGCACTGGGATGGTAAGGTTCCTGGGATCTGCACAAAGATGTAGGCTGTTGTGGCCCCCCAGCCCGAGGCTGGCCGCAGGATATGGGGAGGAGGGTTAGATTGCCAGCTCTTTCCCCTGCCAGAGTATGGAGGGCAGCCCACCAACAAGAGGGATCTGGATGCTGGAAGTTGCTAGGGGGAATAGAGACGAAGTGGGAGACATACAGAGGTGGTATACATACACTGGGACTGTGGATGCCAACACCAGAGAAATTGAGGTGCCAGGCAATATCTGGAGAAGGGAGGAGTTGGGCCATTTTGGACCCTGACTCAGATAGTCTCCAGACTGGTTGGAAAGTTGGGCTATGTGAAAAGCTGTGGGCTTATTAAGAACAGTGGGCAACTGCTTTGTGAGGAACTCCCAAGCAGTGGCTGGCTTGTCCCAAGGGTGATTTGAGCTATGCGAGCCAGAGACTGACTGGCTAAGTGGAACCACACACCCTGCTTGTCTCGCACAGCATAACCAGAGGCTGAGTGGCTGAGTGGAATAGTGCTCCCAAGATTGACTCTCACTGCATGTACAGAGACTGAGTGAGTGATTTGAGCCTGGCAGTACACAGAGAACCTGGGCCAGAGGCTGGGCAACTATGAATATTGCGGCCCTGACCTGGTCCCCAACCTCTCAAAACCGTAGGAAGGGAGAAAAGTGAAGCCCAGCTCTCCTCTTCCTATGGCAGTAGAAAGACCAGCAGAACTCCCTGAACACACTTAAAGTCAGCAGGAGGCTTTTTTTTCTTCCCCCAAGTGAGACAATAAAATATGGAGTTATGAATGGTCCAGAGACATACAAAGGGAGAGCACAAGGCTTACACCAAATATTGAGAAACTGAGACAAAAGTCACTTTGCTATCCCACACATCTGGTATTTTATTGCTTATGTGTATTATTATTTTTTCATTAGTTTTACCACTTTTATTTTAGCAGTATTTTTTTGGTTGCTCTTCCTTATGTTTACCTTTCCTTGTTTTATTTTTCTTTGTAATTGCATTGTTTGACTGGTTTTCCTTATTCTCTCTTTAATGTATTTTAATTTTCCTTCTTTCTCTTCACTTGTCTTCCAATAACACACTACTCTTGATTGGGTACATTCTATTCTGGTTATCCAAATCACATATTTCCTGTCATATTATTGTTGTTCCAGTACTATTATAAATAATTGTTGCTCCATACAACTGTACATACTACACAGCAACCCTCCATGAACTTAGCCCACTTCACTTTATTCCTGAGCATTGATATTGTTATGGTTAACTCTATTCTCTCTCAGACTACACCTATTTTCTCTCCTTTATTCTCACTATATCTCATCATCTAACCTTGCACAAGAGCTCTGTTTTCTGGATTCAGCTCAAAATCCTCCTCTCTTCTAACAAGAGTCTTATCTGTCCTTCACCTTTTATACAAAGTGGCTAGTTGGGTGAAATATCAAAGTTAATGCTGTCCTTATCCAAAGAATCTCCTGTCTCTTCTCTACATGCTGGTACTTTATATCCTATAAAACACCCTCCCACCGTCTTGATCCATTTTGCCTTCCCCCTGCAACTGATCACATACAAGAATAGGTGGCAACTGTGAACATCAGTATACTTGCTGGAGGAGAGACACCACCAACAAAGGAACCACCAAAAGGTAAAACCCCAAGTACAACAAGAGAGCCCACACAAACAGAAGAAAGGGCAAACCTACAGTGTCTAGACAAGGAGATCAAAGAGACCACATCACTGAACCCCATAGAATTCTTACCATACAAGTTTACCCTATAAAGACAGCTAGCAAAGCGAAACATCAGGAAGAGAGCAGAAACAAACAGAGTCCCCTATAATGGGGAGAAAAAAATGCAATCAAAAGGAATGGAAAACTCCTGACTAAAAGAGCTAAACAAAATGGAGGTAACCAAACTACCAGACATAGAATTCAAAAGAATGGTTATAAAGATGCCCAAGGAACTCGCAGACAACTATGAGTAACTGAGCAAGAACTACAAAATAGAATCTATAAACAAAAGCCAGGAAGAAATGAACAATAAAATCTTGGAAATAAAAAACACATTTGAAGGAATTACAAGCAGGCTGGATGAACCAGAGGATCGAATCAGCAAGCTGGAAGACAAGGTAGAAAAAAACACCCAGAAAGATCAAGAAAAGGAAAAGAGACTCAGAAAGAATGAACAGTTGGTAAGGGAGATGCAAGACAACATGAAACATAATAATATCTGTATAATAGGGATACCAGGAGAGGAAGAGGAGGAAGGGATAGAAAACCTGTGTGAAAAAGTAATGATGGAAAAGTTCCCTAACTGGATAGGAGAAAACCTCACACAAAGCCAGGAAACACACAGAGTCCCAATCAAGACTAACAAAAAGAGATCCATGGCAAGACCCATCATTATTACAATGGCAAAACTCCAAGACAAAGAGAAAATCATAAAGGCAGCAAGGGAGAAAAAGAAAGTAACATACGAGGGAGCCCCAATAAGACTAGCAGCTAACTTCTCAAAGGAAATGTTCCAAGCCAGAAGAGAATGCAAAAAGTATTCCAAGTAATGAAAACCAAAGGCCTACAACCAAGATTACTTTACACAGCAAGAATCTCAATTAAAATGGATGGTCAAATAAGGAGTTTCCCAGGCAAAAGAAGTCTAAAAGAATACACTTCCAACAAACCACCTCTGTAAGAGTGCTAAAGGGACTGCTTTAAGAAAAGGAAGAAAAAGAGTGATAGAGAGAGGAACACAGACATGAAAATATGCCAATGAATAAGAACCTATCAATGATAACCTTAAGTGTAAATAGATAAAATGCTCCAAACAAAAGACATAGAATAGCTGAATCGATAAGAAAGCATGACCCACACATATGCTGCCTACAGGAGACCCACCTCAAAACAAAAGACCTACACAGACTGAAAGTGAAGGGCTGGAAACAAATTTTCCAAGCAAATGGACAGGAAAAAAGGCTGGGGTAGCAATACTCATATGGGACAAAATAGATTTCAAAAGAAGAGCCATAAAAAGAAACCCAGGAAGTTACTGCATAATAATGAAGAAAGGAATCCACTGATACATAAACACTGTAAATAAACATGCACTCAACAAAGGAGTGCCCAAATACATAAAGAAAATCTTGGAGGGCTTCAAGAAAAATATTGACAGCAACACAATTATAGTAGGTGATTTCAACAACCCACTGTCAAAAATGGATAGATCTTCCAAATAAAATATAAACAATGATATTGTAGCATTGAACAATGTCCTTGATCTAAAGGACTTAACTGATATATATATAAAGAGCCTTTCATCTGAAAGAAGCAAAATACACACTCTTGCAAATGCACATGGAACATTTTCAAAGATAGACCACATGATAGGACACAAAACAAGCTTCAAGAAATTCAGGAATACTGAAATCATATCAAGCATTTTCCCCAAAAAAAAGAAAAAAGAAAAAAGAAAAGAAAAAAACAAGGGCTTGGAATTAGAAACCAACCTCAAGGAAAAAAAAAAAGACATTCAAATTCATGGAATCTGAATAGTATGCTACTAAATAATGAATGGGTTAATAATGATCCAAGACAATAATCAAAAAGTTTCAGAAATGAATGAATATGAACACACAACAGTCCAAAACCTCTGGGACACAGCAACAACAGTCCTGAGAGGGAAGTTCATAGCAATACAGGCCTGACTACATTTCAAATAGATAGAGACATTTCCAATAAACAACCTAAGTCTACACCTACAAGGACTGGAGGAATAAACAAAGCCAAAAGCAAGTGGAAAGAAGGAAATAACCAAGATCAGAGCAGAATTAAATGATATAGCGTCTAAAAGAATAATTCAAAGAATCAATATATCCAGGAGGTAGCTCTTTGAGGAGATAAACAAAATTAACAAGCCTTTAACCAGACTCATCAAGAAAAAAAAGAGGACCCAAATAAATAAATCATAAATAAAGAGGAGAAATGACAACCAATACCACAAAAGTACAAATGATTGTAAGAAATTACTATCAACAACTATATGCCAAGTAATCTGACAACAAGGGTGAAATGGAAATTTCTACAAACATATAATCTTCCAAAACTTAATGAAGAAGAAACAGAAAGCCTGAATAGACCCACAACTGCTAGTGAAATTGAAGCAGTAATTTAAAAAACTCCCAGTACACAAAAGGCCCTTACCACATGGTTTCACAGGTGAATTTTACAAAAAAATAAGGAATAACCCCTATGCTGCTCAAACTATTCCAAAAAATCCAAGTAGAGTGAAGACTCCCAAACTCTTTTATGAGGACAGCATCATCCTAATACCAAAACCAGATAAAGAAAAAGAAACAAAGAATACAGGCCAATATTGCTGATGAACCTAGACACTAAAATCCTCAACAAAATACTGACAAACTGCACCCAGCAATACATTAAAAAGATCATATACCATGATCATGTGGATTCATCCGAGGGTTGCAAGGATGGTACCATATTTGCAAATCAACAAATGTAATACATCACACAAACAAGACTAAATACAAAACTCCCATGATTTTATCAATAGATGCAGAAAAAGCATTTGATAAGGTATAGCATCCATTTATGTTAAAAACACTCAGCAAAGTGGGAATAGAGGGAGCATACCTCAACATAATAAAACTCATATACAAGAAACCAAGAGCTAACATCATACTAAATGGGCAAAAACTAAAAGCTTTCCCACTAAGATCAGAAATAAGACAAGGCAAGAGAAACTTTCACAACTTTTATTCAACCTAACTAGAACTTCTAGCTGCATTGATCAGGCAAAATTAAAAAAAAAATAGTGCTTGCCTCAGCAGCACATATACTAAAATTGGAATGATACAGAGATTAGCATGGCCCCTACACAAGGATGATATGCAAATTCATGAAGTGTTCCATATTTTTAAGCACGTGGGACAGTGCACACCTGGACTGGCCCAGCAGGGCCCTCCTGAGCTCACTCCAGATGCATGAGGGATGGTATGCACCAGGTCCTTGGCCTGGTGGTGGCCCAGCTACACCCACTCCCAAAACACTGGGGATGGTGCACACCCAGTCTGAGGTCCACAGCTACCTGTCCACACTCACGCCCAAGACACCAGGGATGGAGTGCCTCCCAACTGGTCCCTGCACCCTGAGCCCTGCAGGGCCAACTGGCTCTCTAGGAGGAAGGTGGAAAAGCCTGACAGAGGGGAGATGCAGTCCCTTGAAAGACTTGGTTCAGTGAGGACCTGAACTACCCTGAAGGGGTGCTGAGAGTCCCTAGCATCAAGAACAGCAAAGAGCAAGAAGGTGGTGGGTGAGTTGCCCCTAACTGGTGCACCTCAAGGACAGCACAACTGGTAGACTAAAGGCCTAGGCTGGACACAGAAGGGCACTGAAGAACTTGGCTGGAGGCTGGACAACAGTGAAGAGTGCAGCTTAGGAAGGGAGAAAAGCAAAACTGATCCCTCCTAAGCCTGCTGCAGAAAGGAAGACCAGCCAAACTGACCTGACCCGTTTAAAGCCAGCAGACGACTTTGTTTTTTATTTAATTCCTCCTTTTCTGTCCTTCTTTGTTTTTTTAAATTCCCTCTTCCTTTCCTTATCTCTTTTTCTTCTTCCCTTCCCTCCCCTTCCCTCCCCTCCCCTCTCCTCCCCTCCCCTCCCCTTCCCTTCATATTCCTCCTACCTTCCTTTACTTTTTAAAATTTTTTTCACTTTTCCCACAGGTGAGACAATAATATCTGGAACAGAGGAAAGACCAGAGTTAGACCCAAACAGGGATCATCTCAACAACAGAGACAGTGAGACAAATTTCACTTTGCTACTACACAGAACTTGCAAGGTGGGGGCAGCGAACATGAGCACACCTACTGGAAGAGGAAACCCACCAACAAAGGAACCACCAACAGATAACAATGGAAGAAGGTGAATGAGTGATTGGAAGCCACAGCACCCTCTTTCCAGGACCGATCTGGAAATATAACTAAATGGTGGAGAAATTACCCACAAGAAACAACTGAACAAGAGCAAGAGAGAAGCCGCAAAACCTTGTACACATAGAACAAACAGCTTCAACACAACCTGTCCACACCTGCACAACAGAATACAAGACATGGTGGACGGATTGATCCTCATTTAACCAGTTAGAGGGAAGTACCCCCAAAAGAAAGACCCAACAACAATCAAAACCCAAACACCTACACAGAGCCAACATAAATTACAGCCCTATACGAGCGAAATCAGAAGATTAAGGACATTGTCCCACTGAATGTTCACAGGTCTTCTACCATACATGTTCACACCAGAAATCCAGAGAGTCACAACACATCAATTTAAGAAGCAGAGGCTAACAAGAAAACTCTCACAAACAATGGAAAGACAAAGAAACAATCCCCAAATGAAAGGAAAGGACGAAGCCTCAGAAAGAATGCTAAATGAAATAGAGGCAAGTCAACTATCAGATATTGAGTTCAAGGCAGTGGTTATCAGGAAGCTCAATGAGCCCACAGACAATTACCAGAAACTACAGGGAAACTACAATGAACTCACTGCAAACTATATCAACATAAAAAGGGAAACAGAAACTATCAACAAGGCCCAAGAGGAAATGAAGAATACAATTTCTGAACAGAACTCAGTAGGAGGAATCAAAAGCAGGCTCGATGAAGCAGAGGATCAAATCAGTGATCTGGAGAACAAGGCAGAAAAAAAAAACACCCAGAAAGAGCAACAAAAAGAAGAGACTCAAAGAATGAACAGGTGGTAAGGAAGATGCAAGACAACGTGAAACGTAATAATATCCATATAATAGGGATACCACAAGGAGACGAAGAAGAGCAAGGGACACAAATGTGTTTGAAAAAGTAATGATGGAAAACTTCCCTATTTGATGAGAGAAAAGGTCACGCAAATCCAGGAAACACACAGAGTCCCAATCAAAAGGAACCCAAACAGGCCCACTTCAAGACACATCACAATTAAATGACTAAATTCCAAAACAAAGAGAGAATCTTAAAGGAAGCAAGGGAGAAACAGGAAATAACATACAAGGGAGCCCTGATAAGGTTAGCAGCTGACCTCCCAATGGAAACGCTCCAAGCCAGAAGAGAATGGTAAGAAATATTAGAAGTAATGAGAACCAGAAGCCTAAAACGAAGGCTATCTTACTCAGCAAGGCTCTCAATCAAGATAGAAAGCCAAAGAAGGAGCTTCCAAGCCAAAAGAAGCCTAAAAGAATACACCTCCACCAAACCACCTCTGCAAGAGATGCTCAATGGACTGCTTTAAGGAAAGGAAAGAGAGAGAGAGGAACACAGGTATGAAAATGGCAATGAATAAGTACCTATGAATAACAACCTTAAACATAAATGGATTAGATGTTCCAATCAAAAGACATACAACAGCTGAATTGTAAGAAAGCATGAGGCACACATATGCTGCCTACAAGAGCAGGACAACAGACCCCCACACAAGGAAAATGAAGGGCTGGAAACAAATTTTCAAAGCAAATGAACAGGAAAAAAAAAGTTGGGGTAGCAATACTACATCAGACAAAATAGACTTCCAAAAAATGGCCATTAAGACAGACCCAAAAGGTCACTACATAACACTCAAGGGAATAACCCACCAAGAAGACATAAACATTGTAAATATATATGCAACCAACATAGGAGCACCCAAACACATAAAGAAAATCTTGGAGGGCTTCAAGAAAAATATTGACAGCAACACAATGTTAGTAAGGGATTTTAACACACCACTGTCAAAAATGGACACATCTTCCAAACAAAATATCAAAAAAGATATAGTGGCATTCAACAATGCCCTACATGAAATGGACTTAACTTATATATACAGATACTTTCATCCCAAAGAATCTAAATACACATTCTTTTCAAATGCACATGGAACATTTTCAAAAATAGACCACATGATAGGACACAAAACAAGCCTCAACACATTCAAGAACATTGAAATTATATCAAGCATTTTCTCCAACCACAAGGGACTGAAACTACAAGCCAACCCCAAGAAGAAAAAGCCAAACCATTCAAAATCATGGAGATTGAACAGCATGCTATTAAACAATGAATACGTCAAGATTGAAATTAGGGAAGAAATCAAAAAGTTCTGGAAACAAACAAAAATGAACTCAAAACAACACAAAACTTATGGGACACAGTGAAGGCAGTCCTGAGAGGGAAGTTCATAGCAATACAGGGCTACCTAAAAAAGATACAAACATTTCAAACAAACAACCTAACCCTATGCCTACAACAACCAGAAGAACAACAACAAAGACAGCCCAGACCAAGGACAAGGAAGGAAATAACCAAGGTGAGAGAAGAATTAAATGACATAGAGAATAAAAGCACAATTCTAAGGATCAATGACTCCAGGAGCTGGTTCCTTGAAAAGATAAACAAAATCAAGAAGCCTTTAAGCAGCCTCATCAAGAAAAGAGAAGAGACCCAAATAAACACAATCAGAAATGAAAGAGGCAAGATGACAATTGATACCACAGAATTCCAAAGGATTGTAAGCAATCACTACAAAGAAATGTATGCCAAGAAATTTGAAAACCTAGGTGAAATGGACACATTTCTAGAAAAATATAGTCTTCCAAAACTCAGTGAAGAAGAAGGAGAAACCTGAACAGACCAGTAACAGCAGATAAAATTGAAGCAATAACCAAAAAACTCCCAACACACAAAAGCCCTGGACCAGATGGTTTCACAGGAGAATTCTACAAAGCATTTAAGGAAGAGCTAACCCCTATCCTTCACAGACTATTCCAAAAAACCCAAGAACATGGAAGACTCCCAAACTCCTTTTGTGAGGCCAGCATCTTCCTAATCCCAAAATCAGACAAAGAAAAAACAAAGAAAGAAAACTTGAGGCCAATGTTGCTGGTGAACATAGATGCTAAAATCCTCAAGAAAATATTGGCAAACTGCATCTAACAATACACTAAAAAAATCATACACCACGAGGAAGTGGGATTCATCCCAGGGATGCAAGGATGGTACAATATTTGCAAGTCAATAAATGTAATACATCACATGAACAAAAGCAAAGAGAAAAATCACATCATCATATCAATAGATGCAGAAAAAGCATTTAATAAGGTACAACACCCATTTATGATAAAAACACTCAGCAAAGTGGGAATGGAAAGAGCATTCCTCAATATAATAATGGCCATATATGAGAGACCTACAGCCAACATGATAGTCAATTAGCAAAAAATAAAATCTTTTCCACTAAGATCAGGAAGAAGACAAGGTTGTCCCATTTCACCACTTCTATTCAACACAATATTGGAAGTTTCAGCCACAGTGATGAAACGAGAAAAGGAAATAAAAGGAATACAAATCAGAAAGGAGGAAACAACACTGTCATTGTTTGCAGGTGACATCATAGTGCACATAAAAAATCCTATAGACTGCCAAAAAACTGCTCAACCTAATAAATGAATTTGGCAAAAACTGTGGGATACACAGTCAATATCCAGAAATCAAATGCATTCTTGTAATAACAACAATCAGAAGCAGAAATCAACCAAAAAAATCCCATTTGATATTGCAACAAACAAAATAAAATACCTAGGAATAAACCCAACCAAAGAGGTAAAAGATCTGTACTCAGAAAACTACACAACACTGAAGAAAGAAATCAAGGAAGACACAAACAAATGGAAACATACACTGTGTTCATGGATCAGGAGAATTAACATCATCAAAATGTCCATACTACCCAAAGCAATTTACAGACTCACTGAAATGCCTATTATAGTACCAATGGCATATTTCACAGATATAGAACAAACACTTCAAAACTGTATATGGAACCATAAATGAACCTGAATAGCTGCTGCAATTTTGAGAAAGAAGAGCAAAGTAGGAGGGATCCCAATACCT